CGATAGCGATAATTAATATTGTTCGTAATAATGACAAATCCGTTATCAATAAGTTGTAAGCTTTGTTTTAAAGCTTTTATGACTCATCAAAAATTGCTTGCCCATGAAAGAAGTAAACATGCGAATAATAAAACGATACCTCATTTTTACTTACTTTCTCAACCTACCTCAGAACAACTATTATATTATATTAACTCTGTTATTGTTCTTGTTAAGAAAAAACTTGGTTTTTCTAAAAATTTTATTGGAAAAAAACGTTTTTCTATTGAAACTTTTCCAGAAAATATATTTGTATATCTTTTTAGAAATGAGGAAAAGTTTAAATATAGTTCAGTCAACCATAAATATCAATGTTGTTTTGAAGGATCCACAGGAGCGACTAGACTTAATCAAATATTTCATTATAATTATTGGAATTTTCGACAAAATCCTATTACAAATACTAAAGGATATGTTTTACTTGAAGACCATGAAAATACATATCAAATCAAATTTACTTGGAATCAAACAACTTTATTGGAAAACAATAGAGAGTTTATATTAGGAAGAATGACCTGTAATTTTATTGCCGATTCTAAAGAATTTCAAGAAAAGTATGTTTATTTAATTTTATAATATATTTTCATATTTAAAATATAATTTTTTATTTACTATATAGTAGTAATGAGCAAATACCATTAGATGATAATTCTAAAATATCTGAGGAGCCTATTAAAAAAAAATATCGTAATATTTTACCACGACCACCACTTCAAAATATAAATCAGTATAGTAATTCTATATTCTTTACCTTATTTTTTTTGTCTTCTATATTAATATTTTGAATTCGAATTTCTTGTGGAGTATTATTAAGTAAATAGTATAGTTGATGATTTTCAAATTCCATTATATCTTGTACTACAGATTTTTTTTTAATTCCACCTCCCATCGTAGTTCCACCAAAAAATAATCGAACCTAAATTCAAACAAAGTAAATATAGAGGAAAGTATTTAGTAGTTTAATTATTTACCTGGTTATGGTTTTTTTTTTCGATACTTGAAGCAGAAAAAAATCGTAATGATAAATTTTTTTTTTTTAGATTTCGCAAAAATTCGGGAATATGTTGAGAAAAAACGTGCATATATGGAGTGATATCTTCTTTTCTGTATAAGCCTGGTATTTGGAATGATGAATTTATTTGGCCTTGAGTTGGTCGACAAAACAAATAAATCCATTCTTTTACTTTGATTTCAAAATTATTAATTTCGTTATCTGTAAGAGTTGGTTTTCTTATTACTGTATATAAGCTATAAAAACTATGCCAAAGTTTTTGAATATCCTCGCCACGTTTTCCCAAGATAAAATTAGTAACTGGAAAAAATTGTAAAAGTTTTTCCTTATCGGGACCCATTAGCGAAGTCCAATCCCATTTTCCATTAGATTTAAAAAACTCAAAATGTATCTTGATTGATTTCATGGCTTGTTCAATTTGAGTTTTAATCGATCGTTCAAATTCTTTTTTTTTTATTAAGTCGTTGAAAAAACAATCCATTAATACATCTGAAATTCGTAATAATAAATGTAATTCGTCTGGTACATAATTTTCTTGTTTAATAGCAGGAAATAATTCGGGCTTTTTTTTAGCTATAAATAAAAAATTTAAATATTAAAAATTAATAATGCTTTATTACTATATTTTCGTAGAATGATATGCAGAAGTGTTATTTTAAATTTTGATCAAAATTTGAAATTACACCCCTGCGCATTATTTCGCGAAAATATAGTAAGTTATTTTAAAGCTTACATAGCGTATTTTTATTAATTGGCCACTTTATATCCATATTCCAGCGCATATTAGATTCACAATTACAGTATAAGCAGAAATATCTCGAATTCGGTGCATTTAATCCCATTATATTATACATAAATTTCCAATCGCCAGAAAAAAAAAGCTCGATTGGCCAATGTGTATTATCAATATAAATTCCATTCTCTTGAAGATCCAAAAGTTGAAGTTTAAAAAGATGCCCGACTTTTGCTAATGTTTCATATTTTTCTTTACCTATGTAAAGACAAATACTATTTTTATTTTTTAATAATTGTTGTAAAAAATATTATTATATAAATTAAATTACCAATATTGATAGTCTGGTTTTAAGACTTCATCCTTTTCATTTAACAAGCAAAAAGTAAACATTATATGGTTTTGTTTACGTCCAACATTTCGTCCGTCTCCACTAAGCTTTAAATTGATTGTATCTTCTAACTGTAAAATTGGTGGAACTGATTTAGTCCAAATAGGTACAAGTATTTGAAGAAGAGATCGAACTGATCGATAAACTCCATTTCCAATTTCTTCTTCATCTACTACAATTCCATCAAGATTGTCTTGAAATTCATTATTATCATTATTAAATTGTTGATTAAGTTCTTTATCAAGATTGAATGCTCCAATACGTATTTGATTATTTATCAATTTAGTAATTTCAATTTGTCTCTGTGCAATTTGATATTCACGTATTAATCGTGGTTCTACAGCAGCAAGTTTTCGATATCCATCACGGCTTAGTAAGGCCTCATCACAAGCACGTACATAAGCATCTAACTTTGTATTATCTAATGTTGAATTATATTTTATATTGATAGTATTATTTCTATCCTCTATTTCCATATTACATATACGAATTGGATTTCCAGATTCTGAGACCATTCGATGTTGTAAAATAAGATTCTGAACGCTATTATAAATATCTGTTCCAAATGATGCATATCGTTTTTTTTGTTGTGATGATGATTGTATTTCATTAAGTGGTTTTTTTCGTTTATTAATTATATTATTCATAGTTCTTGATAAAGGTAATTCATTAGATTTTTCATTTCGTATTTGGTGTAATATTTCGATATCAAAACCAAAAACATGTACTCCCGAAAGACGAGAATTTACTCTATTAATTTTCTATATAATATTAGAATATCAGATAATATTATTTAAACATAAAGTTTTTTAATTTAAGTTTTCGCTTACAAAATTTATTATAAAATATACATAATATTAACTATTACAATATACTTAAGCACTATACTAAATATATTATTACCTTTAAGAATGCATTAACGGCACCACTTGCTGATCGCTCACTAGATACCATCCATTCCGCACGACCTTCTTTCCAAGTAATTGTATATAAGACCTTGTTAAAAACAGTATACTTTGTTTCACAACGTACAGTCTGATTTGCAACTTCGGTTTTTATAATATATTCATTAGGAATTTGATATTGAATGTTTTTTCCTTTTTGTGTATATTTAACATTTTGTGGATAATATCCAAGTTCTATTATTTTATATCTTGATTGAAAGAGTTTATTTCCGGCAATGTATTGGGCATTTATGTAAGGATTATTAGGATAATCATGATAAAAAGTTCTGGCGGAATTCTATTTATAATAATAATGTAAGCTCTTTTATATTTAAAGTAATTGCATTTTAGAAAAAATAGTTACCGTGAGTGAATTTTCTAAATCTGCTTCCATTAAAGTCTTACTGAACTGATTCAAAACTGATCTACAACTGATTTGAAGTTCGCGATTTCAATAGTAAAGGCTCATTATTCAAAGCAGTTATTGGTTTAAGTCTAAATTATCACGCGATTTGGTAGTACGATGCAGATCAAATTTGTAAATGTCACACAATTTTACTTATATGAAATGAGAATAATTAGCCCATATG